AAATGGCCTCCTACACCGAAACCTTGGATTGGACAGATAAAACCACCTATAAAAGGCAAATCACCAATGGGATTGTTCTGACATTTCTGTTCTCAACATAGTGCTTTCTTTAACTGATGGCTGCTGTTCTTAAGTGTTTTGAGTAAATCTAAAAGAAGTTTCTTGGGAATGACACCATATATGGTAATATTTACCCTTTTGTTCCTAAAACTAAATGGTTTCCAAGATAGTATCCCAACTATTGATGCAATAAAAGCCCATAATAAAAAGTTACATTTTTTTGGATGAAAAGGGAATACTGATAGACATATCTGGAGCCGATTAAGAAACATTTTTATTTCCTCAAAATAAATTTTATTCTTCTTTGGGGAAGTAAAAAGGGAAAAATTTACATTTTTTTATTTGTTTATTTTTTTTGAGAGGGAGTCTCACTCTGTCATACAGGCTGGAGTGTAGTGGCATGATGCTGGCTCACTGCAACCTCCACCTCCCAGGTTCAAGCAATTCTCCTGTCTCAGCCTTCCAAGTAGCTGAGACTACAGGTGCATGCCACCACAAGTGGCTAATTTTTGTATTTTCAGTAGAGACAGGGTTTCACCACATTGGTGAGGCTGGTCTTGAACTCTTAACTTCAGGTGATCCACCCTCCTCAGCCTCCCAAAGTGCTGGGATTACAGGCAGAGTCACCATGCCTGGCCAAGTTTACACTTTTATTTCAATTAGAAATTAAGAGCTGGGCGCAGTGGCTCATGCCTGTTATCTCAGCATTTTCGGAGGCCTAGGCAGGTGGATCCCTTGAGCTCAGGAGTTTGAGATCAGCCTGGGCAACACAGTGAAACCCTGTCTCTACCAAAAATACAAAAAATTAGCTGGGCGTGGTGGTGGGTGCCTGTAATGCCAGCTACTTGGAGGCTGAGGCACAAGAATCTCTTGAACTCGGGAGGCGGAGGCTGCAGTAAGCTGTGATCTCACCATGGCACTCCAGCCAGGGCATCAGAGTAAGACTGTTTCAGAAAAAATAAACAAATAAAAGAAATTAAAAGCCAGCATTAAATGCACCTGTTGAAAAACAATTGTATGTTAACCATTTATTCTAGTAAAGGGTGAAATTTCCACAATCTTCCCTCCATCTCCACAAAAAAGTGATCTATTGAGCTACTTAGATTTCGCCATTGTCTCTTAAAGTTGAAAGGAGCCTTAGAAAACTACCCAATGTCAGTCACTTTTCTCATTTTACAGAGAGGGAAATGGAAGTCCACAAAGATTAAATAACTGACTCAGTCACACAGCTAGACAGTGGTAGAAGTGGACTAGAAACCACATTTCTCGATATCAGTTTAATGTTTTTTTTCATTGCAGAATAACAATTGCCATAGTTCTTCTACCATATTAGAGTTTAATAAATGGGCTACTGAATATCCTTGTTCTCATACAAATGGAAAAAAAAAGTGGGATCTGTTGACCACTGATGTTTTGCACCCAACAGCACCATATTGCTACAAGGAAACCATTCCTATGGTTTTCTTCTAGAGAAAATGGGATTTTGACTTCTACAAGAAAGACAAGGTGTGGAATAGCTCGGCAGAAGTAATTTCTGAGCGGTGGGTGGGGCAAAAGGCAGAAAGGCTTTCCTGTGTCACTCACAGACATCAATAAACACAGTTCCAAGAATTAAGAGAAATGATAGAAAACAAGCTCTGCATAATAGAATTGGCTGGGTGCGGTGGCTCACGCCTATAATACCAACACTTTGGGAGGCAGAGGCGGGCGGATCACCTGAGGTCTGGAATTCCAGACCAGCCCAGCCAACATGGCGAAACCCCGTCGCTACTAAAAGTACAAGAATTAGCTGGCATGGTGGCAGGCGCCTGTAATCCCAGCTGCTCAGGAGGCTAAGGCAGGAGAATTGCTTGTATCCGGGAGG